TATGCTGCTTCCAATTATGTGGACAGAAATCATTCAGCAGCATCATACGAGCTGCTTACCAAGGTGCTTGTATGCTGCTTCCAATTATGTGGACAAAAATCATTCACACCACATACACATATAATCCATTTTATTTAGCATGCATAATCACATACTTCCAATTAATTCATGCTTATTAACACATAAACACATAATGTACCTTAACCCAATATGTGTGAAAGCCTGGTTATCACAATTCATAGGAACTTTTATTGGTTTAGCAACTAATAACCCAACATCTTCAAGTAATTTTAGAGTATACCTTCTCTGTGATGAATGAATACCATCTGAAGATCTTGTGACTTCCAAACCAAGAAAAAATTGCAACTCCCCAAGATTCTTTAGTTCGAAAGCTTCATTTAATTGTCCTTTTAATCGATTGATCCCATCTCTTGATGCCTCTGTAATGACGATGTCGTCAACATAGACTAACAACGCTGTAAAATTGTTACCATGTCCCTTACAAAAAAGAGAATAATTTGCTTTCGACGGGGTAAATCCAATGGAAACCATAAATTGAGCAAACTTAGTATTCCATTGCCTAGAAGCCTGCTTTAAGCCATAAATTGACTTATGTAGTTTGCACACTAGTCTTGATCCACTTGGAAACCCCCTCTAAACTTTGTACCCCTGTTTAATCTCCATATAAACTTCTTCCTCAAGATCTCCATTGAGAAAGGCGTTGTTAACATCTAGTTGAACGAGAGGCCTTGGATTTCTTGCAGCTATTGCAAGAATAGCTTTGACGGTATCCATCTTGGCTAACGGGGAAAACGTGTCTACAAAATCAATGCCTTCTTGTTGATTAAACCCCTTTGCAACCAAGCAGGCTTTGTGTCTTTCAATAGCTCCTGTAGATCCATATTTTAATTTATATAGACATGGACATCTGACGGGACTTTTACCTTCAGGTAAAGGAATTACAGACCAGGTATGATTGTCTTCTATTGCCTTAAGCTCATCATTCATGGCAAGAACCCACTCCTTGCCGGTTGCAGCTTGTTTGTAAGAAGTAGGCTCCTCATTTACTGTTATAGCTATAGCAAATACCTTATGCTTTTTTGTTAAAGCTTCATATCCCAAATAACCTGCCGACAGATACTTCACGCGAGATTCAAAACTACCCATGTTACAATGATAATCCTTCAACTAAGGACTTTTATGTGTACGAGAGGATTTTCTAGTAAGACAAATAGGAGGCTGATTCAAACTTTCACCTTCATTATCATGTGAGACATGATCACTCTCATCTGCAACTGGTTCACCACATTGATCATATTGATCATCAATAGAATCTTCAACAAACCATACCCCGGCTGCTTCATTTATGGATGTAGAATTTTGATGTTCATCAGACTCAACATAAGAATCATTAACAAGAGGCAACACAATATCTGGGAATGGGTTAAAATTTGTCTCAAAACATCCATTATGATATGGGAATATTTCTTCATGGAACATCTCTAGAGCAAAATAAACTCTTAGAGTTCATGTCAAAAAGTTCAAAAGCCTTCATACCAACTGGATAACCTACGAATATACATGGTTTTGCACGAGGACCGAATTTGTGAGGATTACTAGACAATGTGGATGCAAGGGATAGACATCCAAAAGTCTTAAACATAGAATAACCATGAAGTTTCTTGTACAATAGCTCATACGGAGATCGATTTTTCAACATTTCAGATGGACTTCGATTGATAACAAATGTTGCCATCAACACACATTGAGCCCAAAAACTCATTGGAACCTTTGATTGAAACATTGACGATCATGCCACATTTAGTAAGGGACCGTTTTTACCAAATTCTTACCGGGTAAGCGCTTACCAAGTTAGATTACCTTACTAGATGAATATGACAAAGGCCAAAAATCTTACTCGGTAAGAGCGATGCAAGGACCGAGAGTCTTACCCCGTAAGTAAGGGCAATGGTTCTTACCACGATTAGTGCTTACGTGGTAAATTGTTGCATATGATGCCATTTTTGCTGACTAAAATCTTACTCGGTAATTAAATGGAAGTGTTGAACTTTACATATTAGTGCTTACCGGGTAAGTGTTTTGTAAATGACCCTTAAATGTTGATGTTTCCGTTCTACTACTGAATTTTGTTCTGGTCGTGCCACACAAGATTTCTGATGTATGATACCTTTGTCATTAAAGAAATCCACAAATTGAGGTATAATATGGACAACCTTAAATTTGTGTTTAATAAGATATACCCACGTGAACCTGGGATGATCATCAAACAAAGTGATGAAATATCGATACCCATAATGAGCTCAAACATGGAATGGCCTCCAAACATCACAATAGACCAATTGAAAAGGATTATTACACATGTGGTTCAAAGAGACAAAAGGAAGTTTCTTCTGCTTAGCAAGAGGACAATTAGGACATGCATCATTTTCATCAGAATCCTTTATATTCAAAGATGATTTTATTGCAATCAATCTTTTATTACAAGGATGTCCAAACCGTTTATGCCAAGTATCTAATGGTAGAAAAGAAACTTGATTAGCAGAAACTAAAGATTGATCATTCATCAGACACTAATCTTGATATCTTTCAGCCTTGCCAATTGTCCTGTTGTTCTTCGCCTCCTATATTAACCCACTGTCTTGACTTATATCCGATTGGATAGCCATGTAATTTGTAACACTTCTCTTTAATGTGACCCTGCATTTGATAGTGAGTACAAGGACGGTCTCGAATAGGAAATCTGTTAGAATTAGAACTGTACTGATTTTGCTTAGATCCAGTCAATACAGTAAATGCCATTGGTTGATTCCCTTCAGATGGACTTTGGTTTGATTGAACGATAGTGCGTTGTCTTTCTTCTGAACAACCAGTGAGAAAACCTTATTGATTTGTGGCAAAGGATCTTGGAGAAGAATTTGTCCATGAATCTGTCAAAAGGATTTGTTCAGTTCAATAAGGAAATTCATAACATGTTCAGACGGAAAATGTTTTTTCATTTCTTTCGTTCCTCCACATTAACATTTACTGCAAGTACAATGTCGAGGAAATTGAGATAACTCTTCCCAAAAGTTACTTCAGCCTGGTAAAATATGCTCCTATCATATCTTGATTTTGTGCCAGATTTCTCGCCTGATCTGAAATATATGAGGACCGTTGCGCTGCTGAAATCTTTCTTTCAGATCTGTCCATGTTTCAAATGCTGAATCTGCAAACATTACACTGCTTGCAATCTCTTTTGATACAAAATTTAGAATCCACGAAATAACGATATTATTTCGTAACCACAATTTTGTTGATGGATCTTTGAAGATGCCAGAATCTGATTCAGTTTTTGACCAATTCGTGGCATTGGATTAGTATAGGTCCCAGTAGCTTCAGTGACATTGGCGGCTTTAAGGTGTGCTTAACTTCATTCAATTGATTAGATTTTCATCTAGATGACATCATGCAAAGTATGACGCTCTTCATCATGGTACGGCCTGTGTATCGGTGAAATGGACAGAACTTTGACTAGTCTCCTACTCCCCTTCCCCCCAAACCAAAAATCCCTATGGCGCCTTATTGTCGGCCATTGGCGTTCATACCTGATTTAGCTTGGACAGGCATCCCCATGATTTTGGAGAGTTGAACGATCTTTATAGGAGATAATTATATGTTCAGTATACAATAATGTCTTCTAGCCCAATCAATGGGTGGTTGATTTTATTTTTCTTAGGGAGGTAAATAGATAATTTACTTATTTGCAACTAGATGGGGCTTTGGATCTATCTTAAGCACTTCAGCCACTGAATGTATGGTTTCTTGGATCTGTCTTTACTAATTTGTAACCTTTTTACATTCCAAAATTTATTCGTAATCATCTCTTGTCTTTTTTAGTTGTTAATGGCCAGGTCAAGCGTACACAAGATGAAGACATACAGTCAAATATCCTTGAAATTGTTGGAACAAATGTCCAGTCAACATACATAACATGCCCAGCTGATCCAGCTGCTACACTTGGTATAAAGCTGCCATTTTTGGTTATGATTGTGAAAAATGTGAAAAAGTATTTCACATTTGAGATTCAGGTGCTGGACGATAAAAACGTCAGGCGCCGTTTTCGGGCATCTAATTTTCAAGTGTGTAAGTCTTCCCTATTAGCTTAGGTGCATATATAGTTTTCGAGGGATACTTGCTTTTGTTGGAGCCTCCTTGCATAGGTCCATCAAGGGGGCCCTATATGATGCATGTGTTGAGACAATGCCAGCATTCCTCAAAAACTACTGTTTAGCATCGTATCATTATCTTTTGTGTTCTTATCCTTATGTGTTTACCCTTCCTTAGACTTCTTTGAGCTTCAAGAATGCATTAGTGAAATAGAAAGTTACAAAAGACCCAGACATCTTATATACTTGATGTGTTTCATATAAACTGCAGCATTTTCTTATTTGGGCTAAAAATCATATAAATCAATAGATATATAATGTTGCTAATGGTCTTTGGTTCATAAGAATTTTTGTTTATCTTTCTTGGAGGCTAGTATAGATATTTGACACAGTCAACATTTTCCTTTAAACACGGGCCAAGCAAACGTGGTGTCTTTATGGGACAAATGGTGTTTTCTTCAAATCCCATTGTGCTTGGCTAGCTCTATCAATCAAGAGGAACCAGAAAGTGTGAATGTCAAATCTATGCACCATGCACAGCCATGTTCTTCTGCATGAATGAGTTGTTCCATGTGCCTTTTTAGGGTTTATATTTAACACCACTTCCACCACCAATTTGAAGCTTTTTATCCCCAAATGTAGTTTCCCACCATAAGTTTGTACTTTTTCGTCACCAATTTATCTCTAATTTATAGTTTTGAATCATGAATTTAAATGACAATGCCCATGCCATTTACTATCCTATCCAACTTTTAATTGCTCAAAGTTTGGTGTAAGTGTGTAACAAATTTCTGTTTATATGTTTAAGGCTATGACTCGAGTTAAACCATTCATTTGCACCATGCCTCTTCGGCTGGACGAGGGATGGAATCAAATTCAACTGAATTTAGCTGATCTAACTCGACGTGCATATGGAACAAACTATGTTGAAACACTACGTGTCCAAGTTCATGCCAATTGCCGTTTGAGAAGGATATATTTCTCCGACCGTCTTTATTCAGAGGAAGAACTGCCACCGGAATTCAAACTTTACCTTCCAATGCAGGTTAGCTTCGCATCTTTACCCTCAAATTCAAACTTTAGTTGCATTTTTCTCGTTTATCGTGATGAATTAATTTTGTTTTCCTCCAATCAATGTAACAAAGTTACAAACTTTTCTACCCATTTTGACCGGTTATATGCAGATCTTGTAACATCTGATGATGTGGTTGCCACAACATTATATTCTTTTTATCGTTAACTGATATATTATTATATTTTTTTCCAATCAATATAACTTGACATCCATGTCATTAGATGTTACAAGATCAACATGTTGGTCAAAATGGGTACAAAATAGGAACTTTGAAACTTTGATATATTAATGAAATAAGGAAAACAAAGTTGGTTGCATTTTGATGGTATTTGCCATTTCCAGAATTCAAAACATATTAGTATAACTGAAAGTCTCTGTTTTTTTTAATTGTAGAAAAAATGATTTTTGTCCTAGAAAAGAGTATCCTTGTTGCTCTTTTCAAACTACAATTGTTATGAGTATCAACTTTCTATCCGATGTAGCCTATCGACATTCACAAACTACTCGTGTCGTGCACATGGCCAACTTTGAAGGATTATAATGTATGGTTTCTTTTCCTTTTGTGATGACTTGTAATTTTAGTGCATTGACTTCATATATGCCCGTCTGTCCCGTGGTTTGGTTTGAAAATGATGTTGAACGAACCCATATGATATACTTCATGCTCATGTACATGTCCATGTGTGGTTGACGCCGAATCCCGAACACATGTCATCACAATGAACGTATACGATGACATGGTCATAGCTCTGTTTATAAACCATATTGACTCAGTCTTCGGCTATATTTGACAACTATAAGCTATTTTATTTTCTGAATTTATTAAAAAAACTCGGTTTTGTAAGCTATTATAAGCTATAAGCTAGTTTTTTCTGAAAAATATGCTTTAGATAGTTTTTCAATAAGCTTTTTGTTCTTCCAATTACGACCCTTTCATATTAGAATTGAACAATTCTTTAACATGTATTTTTATGTTATTTTATATCGTCATTTGGCTTTTCAACTAAGGGGTCGTTTACCTAACTCTTATCGTTACCTCTAAGATTCAACACTTTCACCGGGTACGATTTTAATCTATTAAAACGACATCCTATACAACATTTTTATTTGGTAAGTGCTTACCGAATAAGAGTCGTCAATCTCACTTACCAAGTAAGACTTTTGGTCCTTATTATCGTTCTTACTAGGTAAGATTCTTAAACGACCCCCAAGTTCATACCAAACATATTAGTTGATCAACTAACAGCTTTTTTTTCAACTAACAATTAGTTTTTCAACCAATAACTGGCTTTTCAACCATGTTTAATGTTTGGCACACAACTAACTTTTTGGTTAGTTTAGCAAATATATTGTTAAAATATTACCTACCTTATTGATTGAGCATGACAAGGATTGAGAATACATGATAAACATGTGGCTGAAGCCTTGTTTCAATAATAAAATATAAGATGATTTTGAAATCTAAAAGCAGAATCAATAAAATTGATATTTTAAATTGAATTCCATTGTCTTTTTATTGCCACGAAACCACAATAGGAATAATTCCTGTTTTTGTTTTCAACTGTTATTTTATTTGTATTTTGTTTTTTATTTGTTATAGCTATTTCATCTGTATCTCGTTTTTTTATCTGTTATATTAGCTATTTACAAATTATAATGTCTTGTTTAAAATTAAAAGAAAAAAAAACGAAAAAATAATTTGATTGGTTTGTCTTTTGTTGTCTTGAAAATATAAGAATTTTTTTGTTGTTTCTATTTTATCAGTATCTAGATTTTTATCTGTTAATATTATCAGTATCTCGTTATTTTACCTATTATGTTTGTTATTTAACCGAGAATTTAGAAAAAAAAAAGATTTTTTTGTCTTGAAGAGAACGTTTCTATTTTAAATAAAGATATAAAGATTTTGCATATCAATCTAGACTTTTTAAAAGAGCAAAATAGTAATATTTTAGAATATCATCAAACTAAAATTGGAAAGTTAGAAGTGAAAAGTTTGTAGAATATCTTGAACAATTTTACAAAAAAGTTAAATCAATAAAAAATTACCTAGATTTATTTGATTTAGATGATATTAAAGCTTTAACAGACCATATTCATTCTCTCTCTTTAGAAAGTAGTATAAAAAGTCCAATAATTAAAGACAAGCTTCCTAAGGTTTATAATTTTGTTGGATTTAAAGATTTTTAAAATGAGTTTGAATACACTATCTAAAAATATAATAGAAGAAAAAAGAGACTTCGTAAGTGTTACACCCAAAAAGCTTTTTGAAAAAATTCTACCAAAAAAGAAAAGGTTTGACACTACCTTAAGGGTGCGTTTGGTATGTGGAACAGGGTGGGACAGGACAGAACAGAACAGGACACACTTGTCCCATGTTTGGTGTGTTTCTAAGTGGAACTAAGTAGAATAAGAATGGGACACGCGAGTTCTACCTAATACCCTGGAACTAAGTGGAACTCAAACTTATTTCCCTCAATACCCTTTTCCCTTTTACCCAGCTTCTTCACAAAACCTAAGATACCTTCCATCGCTCCTCCTCCCATTGCTTCCTCATCGATAGCTTGCTTCCTCATCGACAGCGAGCAGACCATCGACGGCGAACAGCTCATTGACGGCAACCAGGACCATCGCCGGCGACCAGTACCACGACGGCGACCAGCAACATCGACGGCGACCACGTCTGCGGCGTTCATCTCTTCAAATCTGTTCCAATCGACTAACGATTCTCTCCTCTCCATATCCAATCGAGGTTTTTCTCCTCTCCATATCCAATCAGTTCAACATTTGACCACTTTGCGTTTGAAATTTTTGTTATAAGCTTACCTGGTTAAGATTACCTTGTTATAAGCTTACCTGGTTAATTTTTGTTCATCTACGGTAAAGATGCTCACAGAGATTTTGAAAGATGATAGCAGTACTAACTCGGTAGGTTTCTCACTTTCCTCATTCTTCTGTGGCAATCTGAATCCAGTAAGATGTGTTCAGATGATTACACTGTATGTGGTCTGTGATGGTCATTATTTCTTGATTAACATTAAAAATTTGTTGTTTGGATAAGGTTATCCCTCCCCCCTCCCTGGAGGCCTAACATGTACATGATAATCATATCCCTGCAGAGAAAGATTGGAATCGCAACTTTTTTGTTTTTTTGTAATTTTCCACTTCTGTTATACAGGTAGTGTAACTTCAAATTGAAATAGAAAGATGAAAGGCCTACCTCAACTCTTTTCTCTGAGCATCTTTTTGTTATATGAGATTCATAAAAAAATGCAAAGGTTTAAGACAAGGACTTTACTTATAAAGCTAATGATATTGACCTTACATATTTGTATTTTGATAAACTTTTTGGTGTGGTTCTATTATTTTAATTGTGATGATTGACTGCCATCACAAATGGTTTTTACTCTAATGGTGCAATAGTGATCCCCCTTAGCCATATTTATAAAAAAACTAGTTGCCACAAAACAACTGCTTTGGTTTTCATTTTAGCCCTTGCATGTGATGTGGCTGTTGACAAAGTAGATGTTGTTGACCAATACTCCTAGTAGGCATGTCTACTTTGAGCTGATCAGTAGAAGAGGAGGTTCTATGATATTTTATACGCCCAGATTATTGAGCTCCTCTTTGTTTCCTGGGGGTGATTACTGTGCACTTTTTAGAACTTATACTTGGCATTCTTTATACTCTGTTGCAAACTATATACAACTTTGTCCACTTGGGACCATTGGTAGGTTTCTTTGATTTACAATGTTTTCATTTGGAGCATCCATATTCTCTGTTTACCATGTTCTAAACCCCTGTCTTTGCGTTTGGTTTACAAATTTTCTCAATGTTGTGTTAGTAAAAGGTGGATTTTAGACATTTGATTATTAGTTGTGTCTTCCCGTTAAACTCCATCTCATTTTGACTGTTTTTTTATAGTGACTCCATCTCTTTTTTTTTTTATGTAGAATGGATCGAAACCATGTACTTGTAGTTGTTAAAGTGTTGAAATCTTATATCGACTTGCTCATTCTTTTGATCGAAACATGTGATGTTGGTTGCTAAAAATTTCATCTTTTGTGTTTAGGTCTTTTGGTACACAGTTGTACAAGTGGTGATCTTTTGTGTTGAAGTCTTTTGGTACACAATTGTAAACATTTGATCTTTTGTGTTGAAGTCTTTTGGTACACAATTGTAAACATTTGATCTTTTGTGTTGAAGTCTTTTGATACGCAATTGTAAACATTTGATCTGTTGTGTTTAAGTCTGTTGGTAAATATTTAACTTTTTGTTTGTGAATATGATGTTTAAATCAGTAGTGATTTATTAATGTGAGTTTTTAATTACGATTGATTTTGGAAATTTTTTGGTATTTTTAAATAGTATTTGTAAGCATTTATTTTATTGATTATTTAGTGAAAAAAAACACTAAACAGGTTACTGGGGGTAAATTGGTCATTTTAACCTGTCCTGTCCTGTCCTGTCATGTCTTACCAAACGCTGAACAGCTGTCCTGTCCTGTCCTGTCCTGTCCTGTCCTGCCCGCGCACCAAACGCACCCTAAGAGATCATTGATCCATATCAAGATTACAATACAAAAGTTTTCAGACTCATGGTTTACAATTGTTAAGTCCAGAGATTTTATATAATAAATGTTTTTTTAAGATCAACCCAAATTTTCAAACATAATCAAGAAATTACTTTTTAATGTATAAAAAGGACAGTCTAAAAGTATAGACGTTTCCAAAGATGCTCTTAGACACTTATTTAGATTTTTTTTTTAATTTCATACATCTTGGTTTAATCATGATAAGAGTTAGAGGGATTAATGGAATGATTGTCTAGTACCGAGATTTGAAATAAATAATAATAAAAGTATTATATATTGTAGATTTGAAATAAATAATAATAAAAGTATTATATATTGTAGATTTGAAATAAATAATAATAAAAGTATTATATATTGTAGTCTAGACTTTTTGTTAACCTAAATTTTTTGTTACCTATATTAAGATTGACATTTAGGCTAAAGGGTATAAAGATGTAAACCAAGGCGATAATTTGTTGGTAACCTTGGGACTATTAGGAAGATACTATTTTTCTACAAAAACCAAGTATGAGGTTTACACTGACAAAGTTGTTGATGTGATTAGTAACAAAGGTATAAAAATGGTTAAACCAAAAGAATGTTCTACCGATGGTCTGGCCGGTTTAGACTAGAATTTGAGCGAATTTGAAGAAAAGACAGAAAAAGTTTTGACGCTTAAAGAAGCTTTAATGTATATTGATAGTGATACACATGGCAAAACCAGTTTAAGATTTGCTAATTATGCATCTGTCCCAGTTCAGGAAACCGAAACTGACAATGATTTATTACATCTAAAAATTAGTTGGTAATGAGACATGTAAAATTATTTTTCCAAAAGAATTAAATATGTTTTTAAGTGATGAATAACTTTTAAATTTATAAGACCAGTTGTATTTGTCTAAACATATTTCTGATCAAGAATACATTTTTTATGATAAAGACAAAAGTCTTATAGTCGGTTTATTACATGAAGAATTAGAATCCCATATTACAGACGTTAGTTATCAAAAGACTTAGTAGACGAAGAAGCTGAAAGCTATAAAACTACTGCTAGAAC